CATCATACCCTCCAAATGCCTTGACCACTGAAAATGTAGACTTTCTTAGTGACAAAACAATTGTCATAGTAGCATTAGCATCTGCTATGGTGGTTACAGTCATTCAGTATTTAGCAATACCCAAAGTCTTTGTGAAGTCTTTGGGTGCTCACTGCTCAGTGATATTGACTGGACCTAGTTTTTCACATATGCATCAATGGCTAGAGGTTCCACATGCATCCACAGAAGGCCCCCAGCTTCAGAAATAGCAAAAATGCTGATAGCTGCTAGGGTTACTGGAACCTCTAGTTCTCTTTATGTGGGGATGTTCTGCAACAGTCCCAGGGCTTCAATATCTCTCCAGACTATATGTAAGAGTCATTCTGCCAAAGTGACTGACAGCATATATTTGCATCTCTACTCACAATATAACAAATCAGTTATAAACCAGATATAAGGAGGAAGTGGTCCAGGCCAGCTAGTCCTTTACAGGCAGAAGTTGAAGTCCGTACCTTTAGGGTCCTATAGCTCTTAATCCACTGGTTGTTTTGATATGCGGTTTATCTTATCATTCAGGATAACCTTTGCTCAATCATTTTTTTCATGATAAGCTCAATTTTACTTGCCCCAGATTTGGAAGAGTTCACTTTTGCACCCCGAAAGAAGACTGTATTAGTTTCCTATGCCATATTGACCATTTTGGAAAAATCTAACATTCATACTGAGTAAACTTGTCAGGTCCTAAAAATATAAACTAGTTATACTGATAAACTGCACATACCTTCTGGTTTCAGCTTCTGATCAAGTTGGTACAGATGCTTGGCCCCGACATTTCAACAGTCTAGTGCCAGAGCTTCAGTGGTCAATGAAGGCTCTGACATTAGACCTTTGAAGGGCATAGTGAAGGAGGCTTAAGTAAGGGAGGTAGCACACAAAATTATTCAAGATTAGCACAGGTACTTGCATACACCACAATTTGCCTGCAGGTTAGCAGTGTTAATTTTTTTATTAAAACTGGACATGTTCACTTTAAATAATCTTTGTGCAGACTCAAATTAATGCCTTAAAGGGTTAGTCTATAATAAACTCACATTTCAGTTTCATATAGATGCTGATTGGTTAAATCACCACCAGCTTTTCCATTGTTCAAGGGTTTTGATGCCAGTATATATTCAGCAGTATTAATACATCTGCCCACCTGTCACTTTACATTTAAAAAAAACACAGTCTGGTGAGTGAGATGTCTTGTTGCAGTAGGAGAACTGACACTCTGTAGCTTCAAAGGGCAGAACCCACTACCAGAGTCCAATAGAGTGTCACATGCAGCCAGGATTTTGGATCATCTGCCGTCTACACATTTGGAGGAGGTGTGAGCCCAAAGACGGGCGTGGAACAGAGTCTAAGGAGCCACCTGGTATACTCCAGCGCACCCTGCAAGGGGTGATGGACCTTGCTGCATAATTGGAGTGGGATCTATTAGGAAGGTGGTAAAGACACTCTGTCAGACAACTGTAAGATCATACTTTAGAACCCGAAATCCCACAAATCTGTTATCTTACATTATGAAATATATGTAACATAGGGGGCCAAAGGTATCGTCAATCATCCACATTTCATTTAGCTGTAATTTTTTATTTTTTTTTGTAAAATAATGAGTGATGGGTGAAGTATAAGTATATAGGTCACAGAGCTCCTAAGAGTGTTTTGTTTACACTGGCCTACATATAGCCTTGGGCATATGTAATGCAATGCTGTTCTGCCATTAACAATGAGTGGTAAGGTGTATGAGCAGTCTCCTGTCTACATTATCATCTTTTCACTGTTGAATGGCAGCAGCTATTTTAATCTCCTCCGGTGTGGCAGGTCATTGCCGTATATTTTTATTTTTAAATGAAAGATTGAATCGGTCAAAAACCTACGATAAAACACATCTTCTGTAAGAAGACATTTATATACCCATTGCCTTTCTCGGTTTTTATTTACCTTCTATTAAAAAAATTCAGATGAATTCAGCCTAAAACTGATTCTGTCTGTGATGTTTGATAGCCTGCCATACATACACTGGCAAAATACAGGAATCAAACACAGCAACACAGTAAACTTTCCTGCAAACAACTGAATTTCAGTATTGACATGAACATACAACTGAGGCACGCATCAATTTCTGCTGTTTTAATTACACCATGATCAAAATATGCACCATTTGTACATGACAATCCCAGGGCTACAAAACCATTTATATTATATTACCTGATGGCCCGCTCTGATTAATAGGGGGAAGCAGTGACAACCTTTTACCTTTTAAAGCCTTGGTTCTCAACTGGTAGGTCGTGACCCAAAAGTGGGTCGCGACCCTGTTTTCAGTGGGTCGTCGCGTGCCTTCCACTTTTCTGTGTGAGAGGCTCCTCAGCCTCCCCCTAGCGTAGCAATATCAGTTATTGCGCTGAGCAGCCATTCAGAATATGCTGCCTGGTGCCCAGTGTCAGCTGGAGGTGGGGTGGGCTGGAGCTATGGCCACGAGGAAGCTTCATCCATACATGCATTGCTTAGAGCTCCCTACACGTGACCTTGTAGAGTTGCCTGGATCGGAGTGACGTCACATTCTGGCTCCTAGCAGCTTTACAGGGTGCGCAAGGGAGCTGTACAAACAATGCATATATGGATGGAGCACCGTCGCAACCCAGCAGCCCAGCACTGCACCCCAAGCTGAGGATCGCCCACACCGGGACGCACGGTACCGCAATGCCGTGCGTTCCATTGCAGTGCAACTTGGGTCGCCACTTAATGTCCAAGGACAAATGTGGGTCCTGAGGTTACACAGGTTGAGAACCACTGTTTTAAAGGAAGAGAACCCAAGTAAATCACCCTGATTATCAGGCAGTACATGGAACATACTACTTGGGGGCCAATTTGGCCTTCATGTATGGAAATGCTGTAAATATCAGCTCAGATCTTTTATACTGCATTACACAGGTTGAAGGGGAGTCAAGAAGAGGATACTATTGACCTTATTTGATAAAGATTTCTTATTCTTAGTTGCTGATTTTAAAGTGCCTCATCACTAGGATGACAGGATTGAATAAAAAGCACCCTGTTTAAGAATGAATATGTAACACGTACATATATATATACATATATTATATCCATATAATATGTCACAGGTAATATGTTGTCAGGTGGGATGTTCAATATTCACTGTCTTGTAAAGTGCTGCTGCTATCCGACACTTTTGGATGTGTCAGCTTGTCCCCTACTGGGTAGTGTCATTCCACCTGACAGCCTCCCACGTGTCCTGTAGGATCCAGGGGAAGGAACCACAGTTTCCAGTGTGGAACATGCTATCTAACACACCCATTGTGTCTGATAGCATCCATAGCTCTGCAAGAGAGTAAATATTGGACTCAACAGCCCCTGACAGGTAAGTATTTAACATATCCTTCTATAAGGCAACTCGTATTTCATTTTTAAAATGCAGTTAACTGTAGTAACCAATAGGAACCCATCTTAAACTGGGCTATCTTCAGCAAAGTGAACTCTAATTGGTTCTTATAAGGTTCTATACTTAGTCATTAGCAATTAAGTAAAACTCTACATTGAATGAGGCTATTTGTGTTTAGAAAGACTTACGTAATAGAACATGAGACAACAAATCCTCTTTTCTTCAAGATTAATTGCTTTTAACAAGTTCAGTGCAGGTTCAGTTTCTTTTGTAGTGTCAGTAGAACCATTTTTTTCTCTAACTAAATGCATTTGAAAGGAGAGATGGTCGCTTTGATGTTATTGTAGTGGAAGCATTTGAGTATATACATTCACAAGTAATAAAGATAGCCCCAAGTCTAGGCCAGAGTGTTTTTTTTAAAAACACAATGTAAATGTTAATGTTATTGAAGTATTAGCTGGGAACTGTTTATGGGCTTGTATTAAATTTTTATTCTTTCAGCCACATCCATTTCCATCTGGCCCTACAATTCTGTGTAAGGTTGCATTTTAGCGCATTTATATAAGTGTTCCTTTGGCATTAGAATATGTAAATGCTATATGGTATAAAAACAAAATACATTTTATAGACATTGAAATAAGGTCATTGTTTTTTTATGTTATGGCAATCCTAAAGTAAGTGCAGTTGGATAAAATAAGATCTTAGTAACTACTGCAGCCCAGCACATATATTATCCCTATGGGCATATTAGAGACATCCTTCTCTCTGCTTGTAAATAATTGTCATGTTTAAGTGTTCAATATTGTCCAGGAAGATAAAATTGGTATTCTGCTAGAACTTGCTGATATCAGCACTGCAGCTGCCCCAGTCTACAGAAATTCAGGGAAGCTTAGAATGCAACAGACAGAGATGGCTGGGAAGTGGGCATGCGTGTCTGTTCAATGACAATCACTGAAAATAGTCATCTTGTTCGCATACGTACATATTCAAAAGCAAGATGTCATATATACATAACTAAGATAAAATAAAACACTGTTCCACAATAGAGCAATAATAAGTGTTCATGGAATATGTGTAATGACTAAGATCCAGGACATAGCACCTTGTAATGCGATCCCTGCACATTTCCCATCTGGTGACAGATGTCTGTTGGTGCAGGGAGGGGTGTTGTCCAGCTTTCTCGAGATGTGCACTGTTTGCCATTTTATTTATAGGCGGGGCTACAATAAGTGATTTTGGTAAAAGTTGATCTGTTTCTGTTTTGAAACGCAATTAAAGCCAGAGTGAACTTCAGTTTGAATCAGCTAAATACATTCCAGGTGCATCAACACAAAGTCTTAAGGTGCCCATACACCTGCCGATTATCGTACCATAATCTCGGGAAATCCCGCGATCTTATGATTATCGGCAGGTGTATGGAAGCCGTGCAACCGTTTCTACTGTACGGTCGCACGTCTTTTGTCTTACGAGCAGGCTCGAAACCCCGCCAAGAATCGTACGATTGTTGGCGGGTTTGTGGCCTGCTGGAAAGAGAAATGCCGTACGGGCCGGTGTGCCCGTCCAGCATTGCAGTCATCGGAAGCCTGCACCTTGGGGGCGTGCTTGCGATGATCGCAAGTACGATCTGCCTCTCCAAGATGGGCAGATCGTACGTTTTTTAAATTCCTTTACAACCATCGCAAGACAAAAGTCTTGTGATGGTTGTAAGGTTTATGGTCACCTCTACAGTTCATTTCCTTTAGAAAGAAGCCACAACAGAAAAGCCTGTCCCCTGTAAGCATTTGCTTTACCAATTGGAATTTTAGTTTGAATAATACTTAGCTTACTTCCCGATCCTGGGATTTTTCCTCCAACAAGGTCCTATCTAACTAGTTGAACAAAGATGTAGCTCAGATCCTAGGGCTTAGAACTTGGACATTTGGACCTGGTCTGAAAAGGCTAACAGAGCAGCCACACAATCTTGTGCTGACAGCCCTCGGAGGACCCTCCCTCCTCCACTGCTGCTGAGAGTGTGACGGGTCCAGTGGGGAGGAGAAGGTGAGGAATTAAGGAACAGGGGGGGGAGGGAGCTGGGTACCGGGGAGGTGATGGTGGAATGGGTATAAGGGTGCAACTTTGTTCTATGGCCCTGGAATGGACAGCGCATCCTTATATGTTTCCCGCTTTCTGCTTGTGTTATCCTCTCATTGTAGTGACAAACCCCAAGAGGAGTGGAAGCGCAAGGCTGCAGGCACATTTTCTGCTCCCATTGTGTGTGTGCTGAGTGCTTCTCCCATTCCATTGTGTGCCATGTGCCACATTGTGGTAGTCGGGGAGCAGCGCTCTTAAGCACACACAATGTGCATTAAAGAGTAAGTGAACTTGGAGATTGCTATCACTCATTGGATAGAGCGGTCGGATCGCCAATGAGAATGACTTCTTAGAACAGTTAAATACGGTTTTGGTTATAATTATTTTTTTTTGTCAGGACAAGTAGATTGTCAAGATGGACAAGTAGATTAGGCCCCAGTAATTCTTCTTTTCTAAATTCCACACTTCTATGCCAATAGGGTAAAACACAAACTAAGTAATAAATATGTTATATGCACAGCCATGTAATAGTCCATAAGGCCATGTTTTGTTTTAAAATGTAATGGCCCACAAACCTTTCCAAGGTATAGCTGCAAGAAAAGCTGATGAGATATGCTGCTTGGAATACAAACCTTTTATCAGAAGTAATATGATTCTATCCAGCCGTGGCTTTTTCCACGTTCATCAAAATACTGATTTAAAATCTGCAAAGACACTGATGTAACCCACTGTGTAAATAAAAAACTACCCGAATACAAGACTAATGGTACTTTCTTTATATTGGAGTTTTCTATTACGGTGCATTAACAGTAACAACATGAACAGATTTGGTTATTTGACAATAAGATCTAACATTTAAAATAACAGTAGCTGACACTGATGAATTGTTGAACATATACAATGTTGCTGTGTATCTTACATATGTTTATATAGCTGCCAAAGGTGAGGCCCTAAATTGCTGTGAAGGGTTTATCACTTGTGTATGCACTGATGGCTCTTTCACTCTGCACTAATATAAGCAGCTGTAATAGGATAATGACACAAATGATTTGTATAGGCTGTAATGCAGGCTGAAGCATCCATTTATGTCCATATGGAGGATGGAAGCAATAAAGAAAATAGATTTTTATCAATAACAGTGTTTGTTAAAGCAGGGGTAAATGATACTAATAGCTACCAAAGCTTCAAAGGACTCAACACTCTTGAGTAAATTGTACTTCATATATTAAAACATGATCTAGAACAAACCTAGACATGTTTCTATGGACTTAATAAGCCAAGCCAAACCGTTACGCATCAGAGGTTTTGTAAGGATGAACTTGAAGAGAGCACAGAGTACAGAAAAATGACTGGGCTATTATTCAAGCTATACAGCTAAAAGGACCTACACAGTGTATGCAAGGTCATCTAACTGATCACGAGCCACCAGTATATATTACAGCAATGTCCCGGACATCGTTACCATCACTATATACCACCAGTAGTGCCACAACAGTTTGTGCCACTGTTATACATCAATGTCCAATTATATTTACACTCCTCTATAAATGAAGTCTGCGAAAAAACAGCATGCGGCAGTTCTGTGTAGGTATGCACAAAGCTGTTGGACCCCAAATTTGTTTATGTAGAAGTCACTTACAGTGCTTATGTATCAGTATTCACATGAGCCACTGTCAGCACTCCAGTAACACAGACCTGGACACAGCTAACATTTTGACAGCCTGGTCTAGGTCTCTATTGCTGGAGTGCTGACAGTGGCTCTTTTATGAACAATGCCTGCAAAGAAACACTGTTTCCAGGTTTGTTAATAAGAGCATTGTACAAATATTATTGTTACAATGCATTTTTTTTTAATTTAGCTCTTTTATGTGGAGATTTAAAAGAGTTTCCTTTGATCTGAACATAATGTCAGTTACAACAAGTGGGGGGAAAAAAGGTTTTTCTTTGTTTTTCATTCAAGGACACAGGACGTCAGAGACGTTTGGGATTAATTGCCACCTACAGGAGGATTTGGATACTGGCAAACAAAAAAATTATATTATAGGGTATAACCCTATAATATTCACTGCATGCCTCAGTTTGTCTGTTAAGTGTCCTAGGAGGCTGGATGTCTTTTCTCTGCTCTGCTGAGAAGAGTCTTAACTTTTGTTAGCTATTTTTTTCTTCAATCAAGATTCCTCTACAAGCTGCTAAGCTTGTTACTATATGCAGCTGTCCAGATTGGTAACTCCTCAGCAGTAGCTCCGGCACTAGGCTCTGCATTATCACGCTTTATAGACCTAATTGTACTGTGTTTGCCACAGAAAGCTTTGCAGGTCCAAAGCTGTGGCACAGCCCCAGTTGTGACCCTGTCTTTGAAAACTGACTTTGTATGCAGACCATGTGGGCCAAGCACAGACATACCTCATTTCAAGGGCCGCTGGGTGCCATTTAAAAATCCCTGTTTTATGTCAGTTCACCACAGAAGATGTTAATTCTGAGGGACTAAGCTCCGACGTCATCTTCTGGATGTAGTGTCGCATGCGCATGCTCTGTGTTTTTTTTTCCTGGTCTACATTATAGAGGAAGCACTTGCTCCTGACTACAAGTAATATGTTGATTTATATTCAGTTCATCTCTGCTCCCTGCCGTCAGTGACCCAGAAGTGTTTCAGAACTTCTGTCACAGGTAGAGGATGCCAGAAGTAGACCTCCTTGCCTCCAGGTTCAACAAAAAACTGGACAGGTTTGTCTCCGGTTGCAGAGATCATCAGTTGAAAGCAATGGATGCTCTAGTGGCCCAGTGGGATCAGTGCACCATGATCCATGCCTTTCCTCCTGAAAACTCCTTCCTTGTCTGCTTCTCAGCATAGAGAAGGAAGGCATTCTGGTGATCTTTATATCTCAGGACTAGCCAAGGCAGATGGGGTACTCTGACCTGATCATCCAGATCTTCTGCCCAAGGAGGGTTTACTGTCCTGTTTCATGGTCACAAGCTTTAACAGCATGGCTGGATATGGCATGTCCAGGTGTTGATGCTAAAAGCTAGGAAGTCTACTTCTTGTAAGGTCTGCCATTGCACATGGAAGGCATACTTAGCTTGGTGTGAGGAAAGAAACTTTTATCACAGTATTTTATCAGTATTTGGTAACCGTGGAAACCGTAGCCTCGCCGAGTCCCACAGACCTATTCAGTACTTTATCATTTTCATGGTGTTGCTAGTACACATTGGTGTTGGAACTAGATTAAATAAATAAAGATTCCCACAGATCTGATGGCCAGAATACAATTTTAGTCTTGCTAGTGACCAGCATGGCTATCGATATCGTTATCGTTACACCAGCAAGGTTAGTGCTGGTGTTTTCCGGAAATGCCATCTGGCTGTGAATTTACAGGCAGCCCATAAATAAATAAAAGGCCAATTAAGGATGTTACTAGTGTCAGTGAAAAAATGCATAACTATAAAAATGTATTGCTTTTTAATGTTAGCCAGTGATTGTTATGGTCCCACGATATGTAGGTATGATTTATTTGTGTGTTGTGAAATTTTAAGGAACCTGCAGTAGGTAGATACTGAAGTGGAGCGATGCTGAGGTTAAGGCTAGGCAAAATCAGGAAATCACAGTGAGCTTCAGACTGGCAGTCCGGTACAAAATCAGAATCAGCACACACTAAGCAAATCGGTATTGATCTGCACTGCCCACACATCCCCTAAACCTGGACAGAACTATTGACAATGTTGGACCCCAGCGTCACCCATGACAACACTACTGTATAGGAGTTGCCTAAATTTACTGTACATGTTGACTCTCTCGTGGTTACCTCACCAACTACAATACACTACTGTTTTTTTGTTTTTTTGAAAAATCTTTTTATTCATTTTGCAGTTAAAACAAATACAATCCGGGCACCAACCTGGCACCTCAATAATACACAACAAGTGTATACAGTGCAGCATAACATATGCCGGTTATAATACAAAACAGTACATAGTACAGTAATAACATTCCTCTGACCATAAACCTCCCCCACCCCTCAGTGACTCATAGGATCCCTAACATTATGGAAACAAATCCACTCTCCATCAGCTCCCTCATGAGAATAGTTATTATAGTGATACAGTACAATGCCTCATACACGATGCAATGCATAACAATCAATTAAAGAAGGAAAGAGAACTCCAAACCTCCCTCCGCCGAACTCTACACATGCAATATTAGCCTTCCAGGATGCTCCGGGAGGTCAGAAATCGCAGGTACTCCTAATAGGGCTTAATAACACCAATCTGACTCCTACGGTTGATTACCTAAATTGCTAGTGTAGTGTCGGACTCCATCCAAACGGGCCAGATTTTGTCGAACTTACAAGGACACCCTCTGCTAGCATAAGTAGCTTTGCAATACACTACTGTTTAACACTACCTGCATCTAAATTTAATGGCATATCTATAGGAATTAAAAAAGCAGGGCATGTATGTGTCCTCTACTCCTTGTTAGCATGTCAAAGCCATGCAGGTCTAAATCAAGAATAAAAAAGGCAGTGTTCCTTTG